AGATAGATAGATAGATAGATAGATAGATAGATAGATAGATAGATAGATAGATAGACAGACAATAGATAGATGATAGAGTTATGTGTTTGTGTGTGCACACACACATATGCTTGATGTTGGAGGGGTGATGCACCACTATCCATGGCGCATCCATGGATAGCAAAGGGCAACTTTGTTGAGTCAGTTTTCTCCTCCCACCTTTCCATGGATACCAGAGATTGAACTCACTTTCATTCCATGAGCCACCTCACTAGCCCTCTCTACTGTCGATCCCTATGGTCCTAAGGTTCTTCTATATGTTGAAGAACCTTAGAACCAGTATAATTATGCCAACAGTCCCCACAGCTGGAAAGCAGTCTAGAGTGATCTAAGAATGGCCTGAGGGATGCTGGTGAGTTAGGGCTTTGCAAAGTGCTAGAAAGATCTGGGGCATTGCTATTCTTGATTGGAGTACTTAGGGAATCACCATCTCTCTGTTCCCATCCCATCACAGGGGCCAACCTTAGCTACTGGCATTCACGGTCGTGTGACCCTCTCTGGATTCCTATAATCCTGTTTGCATTGCTCCCGGTGACATTTCCTATTTGGCTGGAGCTGCCAAGTGTGAAACTGACCCTTGCCTAGACGGACAGATAAATAGATAGACAGACAGACAATTAGGCAGGCAGACAAAGAGACAGACAGACAGGTAGACAGATCTGCAAAAAGAAGGGGCTGACACATTCTCTTGGTTCTAACATATTATATGCTTATTTTCCTCTATAGCTAATCTTTATGTTTCTCGTTGCCATCAGAGCCTAGAGTAGAAGTTCTCAACCTGTGAGGTCACCACACCTTTGGGAGTCAAAACCTTTTCACAGGGGTTATGTATCCTGTATCCTATGCATCAGATACTTACAATTCATAACAGTAGCAAAATTACAATTATAAAGTAGCAGCAAAATAATTTCGTAGCTGGAGTTCACCACAACAGGAGGAACTGTACTATAAGGTCACAGTGTTAGGGAGGTTGAGAACTCCTGGCCTAGAGTGTAATGCCAGGCTCACATGGGCCTCTTGTACATGTAGTTTTCTATTTCTTCAAAAGCAGTGGGCTTTTCCTATTAACATGGTATCAGAACACAGCCCAAAAATGAAATCGTGGGAGAATTCCGAGTGCTTGTGGAGCACTCCAAAAGAACAAGACAAGAGCCTATTCTTCAGAACACTGAATTAATTTTTCTTGGAATGTGCTTCCATGCCTCTCCCAGGTGTACCGGTTAGGAGTGAGTTTACTTCAGATTATTCACTACAGCCAGCTACTGTTTTTTGTTTATAAGCCTCTATGGAAAAACAGGTTTTTGCCACATGTGGCTTGTCCTTGTGATTGTTCACTTTACTCGTGTGATTCTTTTTAACCCTCCGAGTATAAACTGTCTAATTCTCTGACTAAAGTTAGTTGTTGCATGAGACTCATTTTTAGGCTCCATTCTCCCAGGCTCCAACACCTTGAGGGTGGTAAACAACATGGTGATTTTTTTTTTTTCCAGATAGGATGTTCCTGTATAGTTTGTATTCTCATCCCCTTTCATCATAACTGGGCTATTTTCTGGAAGAAATTCAGTTAGGATATCAAATAGTGTAGTGAAAAGCAACTTAGCCTGTTTTGTGCTGTGTAATTTATAATGAATGGATGCTTGCTTAGTTCTTGAACCTGCTAAATTTACTCTTAAGGTGCCACTGTCTAGTGAGGACCCCTGCTGAGCCACCTCAAGAACTCACTCTTTTATTACAGTATTAACCCTAGAATTACTGAGGACAACACTGGGGATGGCTTACACTGGGGTTCTCCACCTGAGTTTGGCAGGAAGCAAAAACAACGCCCACTAAGCCAAAAACATTACATGACAAACACACGTAGATCTGTGTAAGGACTGAAAACGTACTTCTGCCAAACCCGTCACGTTCTTCTGATGAAATCCGGCCTTTGAGAATTGTGGTTCTAGAAAATGAGCACGATTAGACAAATCTAGAAACATTTTATTTCTGGAAACAATGACACTTCTTCTACTGCCGGGCAAAGGTTAGTTGATCCCCTTGAGGGATGGTAGGCCCAGGAAGGGTAATTATCTCCCAGCAATGCAGTAACTAGAGCAAGTCCTTGCTGTTGGATGTAGGTGGCAGACCATCTCTGCTAACATGGCTGTGCTTTGAACTTTACTGTGTTAACGTGAGGTCAACTCCAGGCAGAGGCTGGCTAAGAAGTGAAAGGTTCATTTGGACTAGTAAATCCACAGGACATGCTGTCTGTTGACATATGCTACAAAGATATTCGTATCCCTTTCTCTTTGGTTTAGCCCACCGAAACTTTTTTTTTTCCCCAGGGCGCTGAGATGCTAACGTGTGTGTGTGTGTGTGTGTGTGTGTGTGTGTGTGTGTGTGTGTGTGAGATCAAACTCATATCCTCCACAAAAGCAGACAATGCTCATAACTTCAGACGCCGTTATTTCTGAAGGCACTTTGCCCTGTACTTATGGATGGGGTGCGGGGGGGAGTAGTCCTTTCCCCTTCCGGCAAAAGGTCGAGTGAGCGCATCCGGCCCCGACCTTTGGGGGAACTGTGCCAGCAAACCCAAGAAGCTGCTTGCTTTAATTAAAGCAGCTCCAGCCCCGGCCCGCACTAGGCCAGGTCCTTCGAGCCCTTCCTCGCAGAGCACGCCGGGTCCGCGACTGCGCCATCCCCGCCGCAATTGGCAGTGACTGGCGAGCCGGATCTGGCCGCGCGGTCTGCACAGGACCAGCTCCGCGGAGCCCAGCGGCCGGCCACCGGACTTCACGCCAAGCCAAGCGGGCGCGCGTCCCGCTGACCCGCGCGCCGGAAGTGACGTCGACGCGCGGCGCACTCCCGCCTTGCCTTTCGTCGCCGTCCTGTGGCGGGAACCGAAGCAGCCGGGGACGGCGGCGACTGTAAGTGTCGGTTCTGGGTGATCCCAGCCTGGTTGAAGGCTGGCGGGGACCGGGCTGTGTCCTTCGCCTCCGCGGTGGTCACTGCGAACCGCGGCTCGGGCGGCGCGGCGGGAGGCAGCAGCCCAGCGAGGTGTAAAGAAACTGGCCTTTTCCCGGACAGTGATCGCGTAGTGGGTTTTCTCTGGGTGCAAGCTCAGAGCTACGTGTTTGAAGTCACTTACGTAATGCATTTGCTTTACGGAATCGGCTTTAGCCCGTTTTCACCTTTCATGCGGTAACACGTACGCCACATGTTGTGAAGTCATACGTGTCTAAGCGTCGACTGTACAGCAGTGGGGGGAAAGAGATCATTGCCATCGTCGCTGAGAGTTATCAGAGAAACTGGTGACAGAGGAGAGGTGGTGGTTTTGAAGCCCCTGAAAACAGCCTGGAAATGCGCTTATGTATTGGTAGTTTAGGTTTTGTGTGAATCTTCACATTTTCTCATTTTGATTTATTTTGAGTTTATCAGAACAGTAGATATCAACACGCTTCTTCAAAGGCCTCACTTTTCCCTCCCTGCCCCCAAATCTCTGAAGACCAGCATTGGCTTTGCCCGTACAACTGGCCATAAGGAATAGTGAAGGTGATCTTAACACGCCTTGCTAAAATGGAGGAGAGTAGTGCTTAGTGACTTTATCTTGGTCAGCTGTTTATGTTTGTCCCAGAATTCCTAACCTGTCGGCAGAAATAAGTCCTTTAAGGACTTTAGCTTCTCTTACTGTGACCGTGAATAGCCTCCTTCAGAGCATCCTAAACCAAGAAGTGATACAGTTTATTGGGTAAGGGGAACTTCCTCATAATGGTTTCTTTTTTTTTTTTTTTTTCTTTTTCTTTTGTCTTCCACTAGGAGAAGAAACCATGCAGGCTTTTCTGAAAGGTGCATCTGTCAGTACTAAGCCACAGTTGACCAAGGACAGGGGGACACCTGCCACTGCGGGAAGCAGTGGAGAAACCAAGAAAGTCAAACCGGTTCCTTGGGTAGAAAAATAGTAAGAACTACTTTTGCTTTTGTCGAAATAACTAATAAGTTTTCTCTCTAATCAGTTCTAGTCACTTTTTTTTTCTAATATAAAGGGAACTTGCTGTGTTTTGATGCTATCTTTGGCAGGGGAGTCACCTAAACATAAGTCATGGGACCTTGCACCTATACAGTAGCCTAGTTTAATTCTCTTATTATTTTTTTTGGTTGTGAGCCTATCCTTTAATAGCTGAGCCATCTCTCCAGCTCTAATTCTATTTTGTAGATGAGCTAAGATTTTTAAAAATTGTACAGTTTTTGAGTTTTAGATACAGAAATGAAGAAAGCAATATTTGTATAAGGCTGGCTATAAACAGTTCTACTGAAATTTAGATTTTACCTTTTATTACTATGCAGTGAAAACTGTTGGGGTTTTTCTTTCTTGAGATTTATTTATTTATTATTTATACAGCATTCTGCTTGCTCACCAGAAGACAATACCAGATCTTACTATAGTAGATGGTTATGAGCCGCCAGGTGGTTGCTGGGAATTGAACTCAGGATCTTTGAAAGAACAGCCAGTGCTTTTAACCTCTGAGCCAGCCCCAACTGTTGGGTTTTTGTTTGTTTGTTTGTTTTTTAGCATAAAAAAAGTAAAGCACCGCTAAGTTGTCACCATCTAAATGATACTAGAAGTATTCATAACCATTAGCTAGATGTAGCTTCTGTGATTACCAAGGATTTTCAGGTTATTTATAAGCCAAACAAGACCATGTGTTACTTTGCTGTTTTAATTTTATTGAGAAAATTAAATGTGTACCCCTTCTTGCCCTCAACTCGTTCCATCCCCCAAAGCCAGTGCTTATATAACAATCTAGATTTTTATCCTTACTGTGCATTCTGGAGAGTAAAGGTGCGTGTGTGCCGTGGCCTGCATGTGGGAATTGTCTGTTGTTTCTCTTGGCTGTGCTGGCTTGTGAGCTTCCAGGCAATTCTCCCGCCCCTCCAGTCTCACTGGAGGAGTGTTAGTATTACAGATTTGTACTACTAAATTTGATGTAGTTCCGTGAGTTTTGTTGATCAGATTGAGATCATCAGAGTTTGAAGGCTAGTACTTTGACCTGTTGGGCCATCTCCCTGACCCTAATCTAGTTTTTTTTAATTTACTTATTATTAATGAACCGGCCATTTTACATGCTAGGCAAACACTACCACTGAATGGGCTGTTGTGGCTCGCTATACTCCAGCCCATAATCCTACATTTTTCCACATTTGTAAAATTTATTGTTGAGAAAGGAGGATGCATGCCATAGAAAGCGTGCCTTGACTCACGTGTGTATTCCATGTATCTAACTTGAGTCTTCTAGATTTTTTTTTTTAATTAAAAAGTATGTGGGGAAGGGAGGAATCTAGATTTCCAGCTTCTCTGATCAGACAGCTCTGGCTATGAGCTCTTTCATGGTGCTCAGACTTGCATACTGCTTCTCCTCTGCAGAAGGCTTTACCTCATCATATATCTGTCATACAACCTTGGCTGTTTTCATTGTTATCTGTCTAATCCTTGCAGGTTTTTGGATGAAATTCTGACTTTTATAGCACACACACACAACCATTCTTGCCCAGCATTAACCCAATTAAGGATCAAAGAATTTGGGGGGCTGCATGGGTAGACACTTGCTGTGTAAATCTGACAACATGAGTCTCTTCCCTGAACACCCCAGTGAAGAGAGAAGTGACCCCTGAAAGTCGTTCCCTTGCATCCTCTGTGTGCCTGTGACATACATATGTACACACACATACTACAAATAAAAATTTTGAATTGTCTTTAGTTTATGAGTGTTTACTCTGTGTATATACCTGTGTGCTCTGTGTGCACCTGGTGCCTTTAGAAGCCGGAAAAGAGATCCAATGCCATAGGACTAGAGTTTATAGATGGTTGTGAGGTGCCATGTGGGTGCTGGGAACTGAACCTAGGTACTCTAGAAGAGCCGCGGGTTCTCTTAACTACTGAGCCAGCTTTGTAGCCCCTATAACACTTTCTTAAAACAAAAGAATGTTTTATTAATTTACTAAACAAAAACCTCAGACTTTGGAAGGACAACTTTGTTGTAGTTTCTCTTAAAATTACTAATTAATGGCTGGACATGGTAGCTCGCCCATTTAGTCAGAACACTGGAGAGGCAGAGACAGGCAGACATCTGTGGTCCAGATAGGGCGTTCTATGCCAGCAAGAGCTACATAGTGAGGCCTTTTCTCAAAAAATAAAAATTACTAATAAATGACTTTAAGATAAAAGTTATTAGCAGGTCATGGTGGCACATACCTTTAATCCCAGCACTCAGGAGGCAGAGACTGGTGGATCTCGGAGTTCACGGCCAGCCTAGTCTACAGAGCAAGTTCCAGAACAGCCAGAACTACACAAAGAGAAACCCTGTCTCGGAGGGAAAGAAAGTGGTACTGACCACTTAATGTATTAGCTGAGAATGTGTGTGTGTTACTTATTTTAAACCAAAGGAGTTGCCAGTTGTTAGATTATTAAATAGTCCTTTTTTTTTTTTTTTTCAAGACAAGGTCTGACTGCGTATGTAGACTTGACTGGCCTAGAATGCACTATGTACACTTGGTTGGCCTTGAACTCAAGAGATCCTACCTCCCCCTTGCTGGGATTCTAAGTTTATTCTTTATGGTATATAAAATTATATTTCTCTGCTTAATATTTTATCATGCAGTACAGGTAGAAGGTAAAAATAATTTTATTCCAGTAGTATGTATTTGCTTAAGGTAAATACAAATGAAGTTTCTGCCTACTTCCATTTTTTAACTAACACGTGAGAGCTATCCTCATGTTATTGTAGCAGAAGGAACACTTGAGCCTTTTCTGTGGCTGCCGCAGTATGCTAAATAACCTTCCTTCCCTCCATCTTCCAGTCGTCCAAAGTGTGTGGATGAAGTTGCTTTCCAGGAAGAAGTGGTTGCAGTGCTGAAAAAGTCTTTACAAGGAGCTGATGTAAGTACATGGTGTTTGATGGCATTGGAAATTTGAAGTACTTATTCACCTTTTCCTTTGTTAACTTTTTGTCCATATTAAATATTTGCAGTAGGTCTTTATTATTTATAAAACCATAATTAGTTTGTCACATCTTCTGTGTAGTATTCAAGTAAAGGTATTCACTCAGAAAGGCTAAGACCCTTCCTCCATGAGCTTTGATTTATAAGAGGAAAGAGACTAAACAAGGAACCCAAGTAGACATAAGCATGTTACAAGTAATTACAGATATGTGGTCTAAAAACAAGTCAGTGTTTTAAATATATATTGTTGGCTGGGTGTGGTGGCATTTGCCTTTAATTCCAGCACTCTGGAGGAAGAGGCCCGTCTGGTCTACATAGTAAATTCTAGGCCAGTCACCGTGAGACGTGTCTAAATTGTGTGTAGACGCTACTTTTTCAAACAATACTTTATTTGTGGATTCCTTAAAGCCTATATACCTCTCTTCCAACCCCCAACCCTGGGTAGGGGGAAAAGAAGGTTGGAAGGGAAAGGGCACATAGACCTCTTTACTTCTTCTGGCTGGGTAGGGTCATGGGATTCTTTTCGGGGCAATACTTTCTGGATATCCTGACAAGTCTCAGTTGTCAGGGTATCCAGACGCCCAGGTAACCAGGAAATGCAGCAAGCCAACCAACCAGCAAACGTAGTAAGCAGCTGCCTTCTTCCTCAGAGCTATTGTATTTATATCCCTCAAAGCCCTCAGAATTTAACTAACTCCAGCTGTCAAAGACCATGCCCCTAAACGAGGCAGTTATCAACTGTGGACAAACTAAAATCCCATACTTATAACAAAAAAAACATGTCTGCATAGCATAACTGAGTTTTTAAGGAAACAAGAACTTCCATTACACGAGTGTATGCATGGGTGCATTTTTTTAACCTAGCTTTAATAGAGCATTTACTTCTTAGAGCACTACATTTCCTGCCGTATATAGGATAAAATATCCTGGGTGACTTGTATTTTAAAATATCAGAGACAACATAAACCCATTTGAAGAATTAGGTTGGTTTTGCTTAGTTTTGTGACACTGAGTTTTATGTACTCCAAGCTACCTGTCAATTCCCAGCATAGTTGAGAATGACCTATTTCAGAGCCTCCTGTCTCTACCTCCCAGATGGTGTGATTGCAAGCATCTAGCTGAGTAAGCAGTCATAAATTGTATGTGAAGAAAGTGTCCCCATGCCATATGAGCTCAGTAAAGAAATCTGAAATGAGCGTGGGAAATAGTTTTTGCTTTGTCCTTAAATTGTTTCCTAAACCTGGCTGCCTTTAGAGATTTTTGGTTTGGGCTACCATTGTTCATTTCTGAAGTTACAATACAGGTTAAGGAGTATTGGTTTTCCAGAATGATTGGAACCAAAGGTGTTTTAGAGTTTGGATTTTGTTTTTTCTGATTTTTGGAATATTTGCTCAGTTCAGCAAGTTTGCATCTTTTTGATAAAATGTCTGATACAAACAAATTTAAAGGGAAAAGTTTGTTTTGTAATAGTTCAGAAGTTTTCCCCACTTCTTTTATTTGTTTGCCTTTTTGTGACAGGATCTTTCTATCTGAATTAGAACTTAATTCACTATCAGGATACAGTGGCCTGAAATTCTAAGTGGAGATGAGAGGGTCAGAGTTCAAGGTTATTCACAATTATCTTTTGACATATAATAATTCTCTATTAGGAAAGTCATCACACCATTCCAGAGTTGGGATTGTCAGTTTTCATCTATTTGTGACAGCATCTTATCTACAAAAATTAAATTTTAATTTCCACAGCTCCCCAATCTCTTGTTCTATGGGCCACCTGGAACTGGCAAAACGTCCACAATTTTGGCAGCAGCTAGAGAACTCTTTGGGTAAGTTGAAGTTGGTTGGTATTTTAGGCTCTATTCGTTTGGTCATTTGGCACATGACCAAAGCAACAATTAAAAAAGAAAGCATTTAATTGGAGCTTGCTTAACAGTTTCAGAAGTTCAATCCATTATCATCATGGTCGGATGCATACATGATGCTGGAGAAGTAGCTGAGTGCTAAGTCTAGATCTGTCAGCAGAGAGAGAGTACCTAGGTCTGGCGTGGGCTTCTGAATGTATGTCACCCTAGTGACATACTTCCTCCAACAAGGCCACACTTCCTTTTCAACTAGTTCCATTCCCTGATGAATAATCATTCAAATAAATGAGCCTATGGATACCTTTTTGTTGTTGTTTTGTGGTTTTATTGGTTTTTCCAGACAGGGTTTCTCTGTGTGGCTCTGGCTGTCTTTGAACTTGCTCTGTAGACGAACCATGTTAGCCTCAAGTGTAGAGATTTGTCTGCCTCTGCTTCCCAAGTGCTGGGATTAAAGGCATGTGCCACCACAGCCTGGCTTGGGAACCATTCTTATTCAGACCACCAGAGTTGGTCAGTTCTGTTTTTAGAGACTATACACCAGAGGCTGAAGAGATGGTTTAAGGGCTAAGAGAGCTTTCTGCTCTTCCAGAGGACCAGGGAGAGTTTGGGTCCTAGTACCCACATCTAGTGATTCACAAATGCCTGTAACTCCAGCTCCAGGGGATCCGACATCTTCTTCCCTCTGAGGGTACTTGAATACATGTGACATACACTCAAAATAAGAATAAATAAAAATAAATCTTTAGAAGAAAGAAAGTGTTTAAGAGATGACTCAAGGGAGCCGCCACGGTGGTGTATGTTTGTAATCCCAGCACTTGGGGAGGCAGAATTATGCAAATCTCTTGAGTTCGAGGCCAGCCTGGTCAACAAAGCAAGCCCAGGACAGCCCAGGCAACATGGAAAAACCCTGTCTCAAAAAAAAGCAACAATTTGAAAGGGGAGGGAGAAAAGTATAAGGAAAAACAATTTGAAAGGGAAGAAGTATAAGGAAAAACTTTCAAGCCTGACATTTTGTATGAGAAAGTAGTCTTTGTTTTTCAGAGCTTTTATTCCATAACTCAAAGATTCAAGCTGAACCAGCCTTAGCTGTGTAATTGTAAGGAAATTCAGTAACATTTTATATATCTTTTATTATGTCCATGGCCAATCATTGTACACACTGTAGCAGTCAGGAGGCTGAGGCAAGGGAGCATGAGTCCAATGCCAACTTGGGCTATATGACAAGAACAGTTTCCAAAATTGTTAGTGATATTCTTTTGGTTTGGTTTGGGTTTTTTTGTTGTTGTTTGGTTTTTGGTTTTTGGTTTTTGTTGTTTTTTTTTTTTTGTTTGGTTTTTGGTTTTTTTTTTTGTTTGGTTTTTTGAGACAGGGTTTCACTTTATAGCCGTGGCTGTCAAGAACTCTCTCTGAAGACCAGGTTGGCCTTGAACTCACAAAGAGTTGCCTACTTTTGCCTCCCAACTCTTGGCTAGGATTAAAGATGAGCACCACCACCACCACCTGGCAGTAATATTTGTAAAGAATTTACTTTAATTGTAAATACCATAGCTGTACATATGACTTTTAAAAGGTACATACACTGAGCTCCCTAAATGTTTAGGCCCATAGAAGAATATTAAGGATTGCATGCTAATAATGAAAAATAAAGAATAAACTAAAACATTGACTTGTTGAGATGGCTGAACTTTATCAAAGGTATCAATGGGCCAGAATTCAGATCCCAGCCCCCACATCAGGTAGCTTGTATCAGTTTTAGGGGATCTCAAACACCTCTGGCCTCCATGGGCACAGATACATAGGCATACATGCATATATACCAAACAATGGTGGAACATTCCTATAATCCCAGCAAAATAATCTCACATTTTAGCAAAGCCATTGCCAAATGAAACAGTGAACATGCACATTTGTCTGTATAAATAAAGGACTAGAGAAAATTTTAAAGCAATTCTTTTCTGGAACATAATTTTATTTTTATTTCTCAGATCTCTATACTGACATATTACTTTAAATATTCATTTAAAATTATTTATATGCCAGGTGTGATGTTGCAAATCTATAACTCCTGCACTAAAAAGTAGAAACAAGAGAGTTTCAAGTTTGAGCCACCTTGGCCTCATAGGGAGTTCTAATCTAGCCTGGCTATAAGAATCTATCTTTTTTTAAAAAGATTTATATTTAGGGTTGATGGCATAGCTCAGTAGGTAGTGTGCTCACCTAGCATGCTCAAGGCCTGATCTCTTGCCATGTACAACCTACCAATTCATGGCTTAATCTCATTAATTCTATGGAAATAATTAAAAATGCGCTAAATTATACATTTAAAACTTGCTGTCTAACAATTGAAGGGTAAATTGCATAAGGAATACATTACTATGGCTTTAGTAGAAAAATATTATACAACTGAGAAATTAATGTAAATACTTGTTATATATTACAGTATTTTTTTTTTGAGACAGGGTTTCACTGTATGTAGACTAGGCTGCCCTTAAACTCACAGAGATCCCAGATCTGCTTGCCTTTGCCCCCCAAGCATCGGGATTAAAGGTATTAGCCACCATACCTGGTTTCTAGGCTTTGCTTTTAGCCAAAATGTTAAATGCGTAGCTCTGCAAAGAAAGAACACGTGTGTGGCTGTGCCTTCTGTTTAGCTCACCAGGTGGGCCTGAACCCCTCCCGTCAGACAGTATGGGCACCTGGTCTACTTAGTGCTGTATGTTTCATAATGGTTTTCATTTTGAAATAGGCCGGAACTCTTTCGATTAAGAGTTCTTGAGTTAAATGCATCTGATGAACGTGGAATACAAGTAATCCGCGAGAAAGTGAAGAATTTTGCTCAATTAACTGTGTCAGGAAGTCGTTCAGAGTAAGTAACTTGCTTTCCCCTCACCAAAATATAGTTCATTGTATTTGCTTTAAGTGTAGGCTATGGTTTGAATTTGGCCTCCAGTAAAGTATTGGAAATTTAAACTGCAAGTTCACGAGTGGATGCTATTTAGAGGTCAGGGAGGGGGTGGGAAATAACTTGGTGAAAAGTTGTGAGGGTTAGTATCCCTGGTATCTTTATAAGATTACATACCAAGCTTACCACAGTTACTCAGTCTGGTCATGTGATTGATTTTATAGTGGTCTGACCAGTAAATCCTCAACAAATAAAATGTCACCATCTTGGGCTTCCTAAACTTCTAGAACTGTGAGAAATAGATTTAATTTCTTTAAATTACCAGACTCAGATACTGTGATATAACAATACAAACTAGACCAGGACAAAATGTACATTGACAGTGGAAAGTGCTTACACCTTGAGTGAGGGGGAGAGTGGAAGGGAGCTGTTGATGCAGCCCTGCCTGCATGGTCCTAATGCTACTGCAGTCTGGCCTTGCTCTGAAAGCCAAATCCCTCCCCTGCACACTCTGTTGGCTCTGAAGCTGGTTCTGCTGCTCTTTGGGGTGGCTAGTGGACATGGCCCCTTTATATATCAGTAACAGCCTGGCAGCATGAAAACTGAGAACTAGTTTTCTGGGTATCATAAAATGACCCTGGAAAAGAAAAATGCTATAGGGAATAAAAATGAAGCAAAATCAATGTACAGAAAAGCACCCACAAAATTGTAATAAATGTTTACAAACCATGTGTCTGGAAAAAGACTTCTATCCAGAATACATAATTTAAAACTCAATAAAAATACAGCCACAGTGCTGGAGAGATGGATCAACGATTAAGAGCACTGTCTGCTCTTCCAGAGGTCCTGAGTTCAATTCCCAGGAACCACATGGTGGCTCCCAACCATCCATACCCTCTACTGCCCTCTTCTGGCATGCAGGTGCACATGCAAATAGAGCACTAATATACATTAAATAAATAAATAAAAATCTTAAAAAAATATATATATGGCAAAAAGGGCAAAGACCATAGACATTTCTCAACTACTACCATGGCTGAAATTTAAAAAAAAAAAAAAAGATAACAAACACTTGTTAGGCAAAACATTGTAAATATTGATTGCTATAATATAAAATAGTACAGTTTTGGAAAACAGTTTGTCAGCTCCCTTAAAGATTAAGCATAATTGGGCTTCATTAATGAGTAAGGTGGCCAACAGTGAAGAAGCCAGCTTCACAGACCTGCAACCTGAGTCCAATCCCTGGACTGTTTTAAGGGAGAGAGAAAAGGTTGTACTTTGACCTCAGGAATGCTATATACACATACACGCTTTTTGTTTTGTTTTGTTTTGTTTTTAATTTATTTTTATTATTATAGTTTATTCACTTTGTGTCCCAGCAGTAGCCTCCTCCTCCATCCCCTCCCAATCCCATCCTCCCTCCCTCTTCTCCTATGCCCCTTCCCAGTCCAATGATAGGGGCGGTCCTCTTCCTCTTCTATCTGACCCTAGTCTATCAGGTCTCATCAGGACTGGCTTCTTTGTCTTCCTTTGTGGACTGATAAGGCTGCTCCCCTCAAGTGGAGGTGATCAAAGAGCCACCCCATGAGTTCATGTCAGAGATGGTTCCTGTTCCTATTATTGGGGAACCCTCTTGAACACTGAACTGCCATGGGCTACTCTGTGCAAGATTCTAAGTTATCTCCTAGTTTGGTTTTTTAAGACAGGGTTTCTCTGTATAACCTTGGCTGTCCTGGACAAAGCCTATGCTTTGTAGACCAGGCCTTGAACTCAGAGATCTGCCTGCCTCTGCCTCTGCCTCCACGCCTGCCTACAACACACATTTTTTAAAAGATAATTAGCACATGACCCAAAAATTCCATTCCTGCTATGCATGCATGCATGCCTAAGAGGTGAAAATTTGATTGCCTAAAATGTGTATACAACATTCATAATTGTTTTTGGTAGTCAATATACCAAAACATACCAAACTGGTTAGTGGGTAAATAAAATATGAAATACTCATCTGACTATTTGCCAATAAAAAGTCTATTTGGTACATGCTGTTGTGTAGATTAACCTCGAAAATACCCAGTGATAGAACTTCCAGAACAGGCAAAGCTTAGGAGACAGGAAATAAACTAGGGATTGGAGCTGGGAGTCCTGATAAACAGCTGCTTTGAGGTGAAAAGAGTCTAAAAATAGACTTGATGGTGGCTTTACAGTTCTTGAATACAGTTCCTCCCCACCCCTATATTAGTTTACTATGGTTAACTGTGTTTTTAAAATGACTGGCAGAAATTTTCAGAAGTTTTTGTTTTAAATTGCATACCATTCGTTCAGTAGCTTGGAGAAACGATGTCTTTCTGACCTGTCTAGGACATAAGTCATTTGTCTGAGTGTCCACCCTGAACTGTTGGTGAGAGGTGTTACTCCCCTTTCTCTCCCTAACCCTAAAGCACAAGAATAGTAATGTTATTGTTATTTAATTTCACTGTATCATTTTATAAACAATATAGAGATGACTCAGAGGGAGAAGTACTTGGCATGCAAGCCTGAGTTTGTTCTCTAGAGCCCATGTAATGGTGGAAAGAGAACCATCTCTAGGGTTGCCCTATTATTTCCATGGAGTGCTGTGGCATGCATGCACCTTCCCAACACACACGCACCAGTAGAATTCTAAAGGAGACTGTATGACCAAGAGTTTATAAGGTATGGGTTACCGTACACTAAAAGATACATACTGTGGTTGTGCACTAGAAATAGATGAACTGTGTTTTCTATGTGTATTGTGCAAAGGTACTCATCAGTGTTCAACTTCGTTGTTTCTGATGTAGTGGGAAGCCATGTCCTCCCTTTAAGATTGTAATTCTGGATGAAGCAGATTCTATGACCTCAGCTGCTCAGGCAGCTTTAAGACGTACCATGGAAAAAGAATCAAAAACCACCAGATTCTGCCTCATCTGTAACTATGTCAGTCGGTATGTATAAGCCCTGAAGACAAAGATTAAGCAGCCTTCTTTAAATTGACACATTAATGTTACACATTTATGGGGCACCAGGTGATGTCTATACCACATTTATGTGTAGTAATCAAAGTCACTGACCTATCTTTCACCTTGGATTTCCTCTTTTTGTGCTACTTTAAGATACACCATCATGATTGTTTTCAATCTTTTTCAGCATAATTGAACCCCTCACTTCCAGATGTTCAAAATTCCGCTTCAAGCCTCTGTCAGATAAGATTCAACAAAAGCGATTACTGGATATTGCTGAGAAGGAAAATGTCAAAATTGGCAATGAGGTAATTACTAATTATTATGATAGTTATAATTAGCTTTATAATGCTAGTCCCTTTTATGAATCTTAAAAAGATCCAAGTTAATGCTGATTGCTTAAACTCATAGGTGAGCAACAGTTGAAACAAGATTCCACACATGATTTTGAATTTTATAATCAGGGTCTAGATAGGACATTTTTAGTATCCTAAAGCATAGAATCTGTCCTTATCCAAATAAGTGGGTTTGTTTGTTTCCTGTAGCTGTTCTGAACTCACTTTGTATACCAGACTGGCCTGCCCCCTAATATTGACATTTTGGACAGATGCTATCTCCATGAACCCATCTACACCCACACCCACACCCACGGTGCTTGGTTTGCTTATGTAGGTCAGAGGTTCACTCCTTAACACTGGGTTCTGGGTGTTTAACTCAATTGAGTTTATGTGACAAGCACCTTTACCTGGTGAAAGGTCTGGCCAGCCCAATTTTCTTGCAAATCCCCTCTTCAGGAAATAGCCTGTCTTGTTAAAGTATCAGAAGGAGATTTACGGAAAGCTATTACGTTCCTTCAAAGTGCTACTCGACTAACCGGTGGAAAGGAAGTCACGGAAGATGTGATCACAGACATTGCTGGGGTTAAGTACACTTGTTACTTGTTAACTTTCCTGGCTCTTGCTTGTCTTCAAGCTAGCAACCTTGTCCTTATTATCTATTATCTAATCCAGGTAATACCAGGTACAACCGTTGATGGAATATTCACCACATGTCACAGTGGCTCTTTCGACAAACTAGAAGCTGTGGTAAAGGTAATGAAATTATTAGAACACTGCTGGTCAGTCCTGCTCTTGGGAATCTTTATTAGTTTTGAGGCCAATCTGGTAGACTGGGGTTCTAAGACAGCTAAGGCTGTCTCAAAGAAAAATTCTAATGGAGAAAACTGCATGGAGGACTAGAACAGAAAGGTTTACCACCTATGAGCTGTGGTTGGAACCCTAAGTCACCATGGGGTCTCTTGATCCCACCCCATATTAGATGCTAATCACCATGGACAACATGGCACAGGTTATTAAAAAACTAAAACTGGTTCTGTTGCAGGACCTAATAGATGAAGGACACGCAGCTACTCAGCTTGTCAATCAACTTCATGATGCAGTTGTAGAGAATGAAAGCCTTTCTGATAAACAAAAGTCCATCATTACAGAAAAACTCGCTGTAAGTATTATACACATTATTGTGGTAGAAACCCACCAGCCTTTTCTGACCCAAATCCTAATTTATTTCCTTTATAGGAAGTGGATAAGTGCTTAGCAGATGGTGCAGATGAACACCTGCAGTTGATGAGCCTTTGTGCAACTGTGATGCAGCAGCTTACTCAGAACTGAAGACACCGACTCTTTTGTATAAAATTACCAAACCAGCTTTGAATAAATGACCAGATGGCCTGTAAAGTGAATATACAATTTTATTTAACATTCAAACTTCATTAAGACATGTGCAATATGGCAATTTTACTGGGGGTTTAACCCTACCTAGGATGATTGCTTGCTGAGGCTTAGCAACAGGGTCCAGTTCACACTTAGCACTAATTATTTTATTGAATAAATACAATACCAACAAAATGCATTCAAATTCTAAAAAAAAAAATCACTTTTAAAGGCCTTTCTAATCAGGCTAATGACAAACACAATAAAGGCAGATATGCTAGTTTAACATAATTGGCTGATTTTATACAGCACTTATATCTTTTAGTCCACAAGTATATTATTAAATGATAGAGAACATCTAATACAACCATTTCTACATAACTAGTAAATGAATTTCTAAGAAAAAAAGATTTTACAGACCCCATCTTTTATACCCACCCCCAACAGTCTAACTCTAAAGAGGATGAAGCCAATGCCTTTCCTCACAAGAGCTCAGGACTAAAGTCGCTTTGCTATCAGAATCTGTATTTGTGATCCGTTATGAGCATTGAGACAAGATTCAAATATTCTCAAAGAAGCACAATGCACGTTGTGATCGCCTAGTCAGCAACAGCGAGCACTGCATTCAAAACTATCTCATCCCAGGAATTAAATAAGGTCAGCCACATTCATGGGCATTTCCTCCACTGTAGTATTGTAGAAAGTCTCAATGTCACGAAGAATCCTCTTGTCTTCTTCAGTAACAAAGTTTATAGCCACACCTTTCCTCCCAAATCGACCCCCTCTGCCAATTCTGTGTGAGAAAAAGAAACCAGCAGTCAGGAAGTTGCTTTAGTATTATTTTAAACTACTGAACATGACGATCCACTTGTTAACCATCAGCTGCTGCTTACTTATCAGGGTTATAGTTCGTGCTATAGTGGAGCACTAGCTGCTAAAACCAGTATCCAGGCGGAAAAAAACATCTTCCTTTGCAGTTAGTGCCAAAAGATTTCAAGGCTTGTCTGGCTGCAAAATGAGATAGGCGCCTTGAGCATTATAATAAAGCAGATGACAGTATTGTGTTTGGGGTGAAATTAAAGCCCATACCAAAGTGGGCCAGCCAGGAGCAGTTGTCAGCCTGGGACAAATGTAAACACCAGGGATAAAAGAAAAGTTATAAAATCCATTTCGACGCACTTCTGGAACTGTAAGACTGTAAATACAAATGCTGCAAGGTTAACTATTTTCTAAAACTTACTTTCTTCCAGTGGGAAAACAAGTATTTGGTATGGTAACCCAAACTTATCACTGCTTTTTGCTCAGCTTCTTTTCACACGTTATACTCAAATTACTCAAACGTGTTACCTCCAAAACAACTCTACCTTCCTACACTATAAGTACCAGACAATACAAACCATCTAATGCTCCCTATCAGAAATGCTAACATACAAAATGCCTTGGGCTGGAACAACTTAAAATATCAAATAATCATGACAAAAGAAAATCAAATATAAATACCGACTCGCTCTTTATTCAAACAGTGTGCTGTTTCGCTTATGATTCCACGTCCTAAATTACGTCAACGCCGTTTCTGAGTGCCATCTCGTCATCAACTGCCGCTATCGACTCCTGTATTTTTTAAAAAGTCTTTTTTTACATCATATAACAAGGTACAATTCAATTTATTTAGGGATAAAAGCCACTATAACTAAACCAGGGAATCACTCAAAAATGCCACCAGCAACACCAAGAAAATCCCAACTATACAGACTCAATCACCAAGAAAAAAAGAAGCACATGGCCACAAGAAAATCACTAGTAAGGCTCAAACAGTAAGACCAAAAATAATCTAAAGCAACCTATTCTGCACATATGTTCACAACCTTAGCCACATTACCAAGTTTTCCCACTTTGTTCTGTCCAATGTTCCCAAATAGAATTTAACTAGACCTTGGTAAGTTACTATGCCTTTTTACTGCAATCTATACCCTCATTTGCCATTACCTTATATACAAAACACCGAAGAAAAAGTTTGACTTTACTTCTCCAATACAAATATTGGAGATCCTTTCTTCTCACCTGTGAATATAGTTTTCACGATTGGTAGGTAGATCATAGTTTATAACCAAGGACACTTGTTGCACATCAATCCCACGAGCCTGAAATAGAAGAGGTTGTTAAATATTCTAGTTCAATGAAATGTGCATCCCTATCATCAATGTAGGCCACAAGATAGTAATGAACCATACTAGGTGGTATAGCCCACTGTGGAGTGTGGTCTTACTCATTCTGCCAAATAGCAGGAGATGGTTAAGGTTATTTTAAAAAACCTTCCCCTCAAAAATCTAGCTTTTGGTATTTTGGGGAGGAAAAAAAAAAAAAAGACTTACCAACAAGTCAGTAGTGATCAGAACACGGCTTGACCCTGATCTGAATTCCCTCATGATGACATCTCTTTCCTTCTGGTCCATGTCACCATGCTGCAAATACAACAACCCTTTAATCAAGAACCTCTAATTCAGGTATACATGTTACTTCTATCATGTATGAGACCAAGCGTCCCTGGCTGCTACATGTCTAGCAGACAGGTATAGTTAAGAAACAATTGCTTTGAGCAGGGGGAACGACAACACAGCACTGAGCAGCCATACTGTAGTTAAATCCTGCTTAATGGACAGAATTAGCATTACTAAATCCAACTCTTACCAGAGCAGAAACTGTGAAGTCCCTGGCATGCATTTTCTCAGTGAGCCAGTCCACCTTGCGCCTCGTATTGAGAAAAATAACCGCTTGTGTGATAGTCAAAGTCTCATATAAGTCACAGAGTGTGTCCAACTTCCACTCCTAAAGTAAACAAAGTCAAGTCAAACAAAATTTCCATCTTTAAAAAAAAAAAAAAATGTTCCCTCATGTTTTGGTGAACCCTCAGCAATAAAAATTATTTTCATTGCTACTTCATAATTTTGCTGTTATGAATCATAAGCATCTGAGTAAGTGAGCCCAGAAGATCACAATCTACAGGTTGAGAACTGCTGGTCTAAAGGCTTATTGCACCAAATCTTATGACAAAGGACACTGGACATTAAGAAAGAGGTCCACCCCTGTCTTCAGGATCCAGTGCAGTTACTTTTCTTCTTGTGTGTACTCTGCTAGCATTATTACAAAAACCAAGATAAAATCCTAGTTTCTGCAATTTTAGCACAGTGCTTATACAAGAAGGTGAAAAAAAAATTACATTTAACAATGAGAGAAATTACCTCTCGCTCAACATTTATATAAAATTGTTTGATTCCTTCAAGGGTCAATTCTTCCTTCTTCACCAGAATTCGAATTGGATCTCTCATGAATTTCTTGGTCACTTCTAACACATCAGTTGGCATTGTGGCAGAAAGCAACACAACCTTTTAAGAAAGAAATGCTTGTTTTTATATACATATTTTGTAGACCTCAGCTAATACTACAGAACCAAAAATGTTTGAAACCAAGCGTCTCTGCCATACTATGGTAGAGCTAGGCAGAGATAGTAATGTGTCAAATGCTTTCAGCAGGGGGAACGACAATAAAACACTTCAGTTATATTGTAACTGTACCTGCATGAGACCAAATCCCAAATGTGTAGAAAATCTTACCTGAATGCTTGTATTTAACTTTTGGAAAATCTCATATATTTGATCCTTAAACCCTCGGCTCAACATTTCATCTGCTTCATCCAAAACAAACATTTTGATCCATTTTGGAGCTGTTAAAAAAGAAAATCATATTGCATCTCAAAGTTCTTGTAACCGCTTTTGATAGTAATAAAGAAGGACCTTAAGGAATACTTACAAAGGTATCTTCTGTTTAGCATGTCAAACACTCTCCCTGGAGTGCCAACTACAATGTGAGGGGCTTCAGCCTGCAACTTCTGCATTTCATTTCTAACATTTGTTCCTCCAATGCAGGCATGACAAGTTGCTCCCATATAATCTCCAAGAGCCAAAATTACCTTTTGGATCTAAAAGTAAAAATCCCAGTTACCATCTTGTAAAACTCTAAGGTCAAAGACTAAGCTCCAAGGCATAATTGTACTATATTGTATGCCAATAGCTTTTATGCATGCATAGCAAAAAAAACTTAAAATTCCAAGCTAAAATTCACTTATTCTCCCTTGTCTTTCAGTGTGGGACCCTGCTGTTTCAAGCACCAACTGGAGTAAAAAAAAAAAATCTCTACATTCTTCACTAAGTAGGGCACAGAATGAAATATATTCTAAGGACAGATGTTAATTTTTCCCATGGCACTAATCCATATAATCCTGACCTGAACAAAGCACACAGCTTTATTAGGAAGTACTACTTCAAAGCCAATAGAGCAGTGCTTTGAAAACATAGCATGCAACAGATGCATCACAAACTACTGAGACAGTCAAATAGTTAACATGTCACTGCAGTTTTCATGTTGCACAACTGCATTCCAACTTTTAAAATGGGTACAAGATCTAATCCACCCTTTGAGGAATCTATGGGTTAACTGCTGAGGCACAATCCTTAAAAGCTATACCTACAATACCCATTTCCTGCTTAGCTTTCAACCAAAAACTCCCTTCATGCATGAACAAAATGGGGGCTGATAGGACTAGGACAATTTATATGGTTTTAATTTAAATTGTTCACAGTTGTGAAACCTGAAACCTATGCAACACGCAAGCAGTTTTTTGAACTACACTATCAATACCTGTTGAGCCAGTTCTCTGGTGGGGGCCAATACTAGTGCTTGGGTCTCCTTGAACTCAATCTCCAACTGTTGCAGGATGGAAATAGCAAATGTGGCTGTCTTGCCAGTACCTGACTGAGCTTGAGCAATCACATCATACCCTAAAAAAAGTAGGATACATATTTACCGATCCCACACCAAATTGTCACTTCTACTATACACCCTGTATTCCAGTTGGAACATAAGTTATGCCCAAGAAAGTGATCAGCATAGAGTATTCTCTTCATTTCAGGTCAGTCCCGAAAGATGATTGCCATCATTTCACTTTTAAGGAATACAAACAGGTGCTACTACATCCCCAAGTTACTTTCCCTCTTATGGTCCACATAGATGTAAGAACACTTATCTAAATGTCAATTTTGAGTTTTACCTTTAATACAAGGGATAATAGCTCTCTGCTGAATAGCTGACGGCTTCTCAAAACCATAAGCATAGATGCCTCGAAGAAGAGACTCCTTTAAATTCATATCATCAAAGTTATCAACAATTTCATTCCAGTTGCTCTGCAAGTTAATAAGACGACGATGAGTAAAATGAAAATTATTTGCCTTCCCAATCCTTTAACGTCCACACCCATGTCTTACCTCGATGACACCATCGGGGTCCATTCCCTCTGGGCCGCCATGTTCTCTGCTGACAAGAACACTGCAGTTAGGACAACCTTGCTTGCTCCTTTCCAAACCACTAGCAGACCCTTCCCACCCGGTTCAGTACCCTCCGTGCACACGTACCCTTACTGAGAATACCCCAGGAAGGGTGGCACCCCGGGTAAGCACCACTCACTTCCCCAATGGCTGAGGATTTTGGACTCTTTGCGTGGAAGTCCTTTTAGTGCCCTAGGAGCAGGCCCTCCCGTTTGGGAAGCGGATCTCTCGCGAGTGCTCCGCGCGCCGAGCTCCGCCCCTAACTCTGCGCAAGGCGGCGTGATTGACGCCGAGAGGCCCAGGCAGGACCATGCCAACGGTCCCGTCGCCCCGTTTACGGTCCAGGGCTGATGGTTCTCTGGACCGTCCCATCTCCCACCTCGACGGGACCCTAAGAACACCAGTCCGCGCCGCTGGCCGAAAATCAAAGCTCCGGGACCCCGTTTCCCTGTCCTAATCAGACTGCGCCATGGCCCCGCTTGCCCCGTCCCGCACGGGGAGGGGCAGCGGCCAGGATGTCACAATGTCTCCTAAGAAGGGCATCCCCAACACTCCGTTCTCATACCCATCCTGTCTCCCCACCACCCGGAGTCCCACCATCATGGAAGCTTCTCGAAGGACACAAGGGGGGCTGTGTGTGCCCTACGAGAGAGCCCGCACGCCTCCAGGTGTGGGCGCCGAGCCACCCACCTCAAGCGCGGGTCCCAGTGACCTCCCCCGCTACAGGCCGCGGGCCGCCCCGGGAGCGCCGTACCTGTTGTAATCCGCGGAGCCACCAGACATGATCCGAAAACCCACTCAGCGCTCGACTGAAAAGACAGGCGGACGGCGCCGCCCGTTTTTTATAGGCTCGCGGCCGGATCCCGTTTTTTCGCGGAGGAATTTTCTTATCGCCGCCCGGGAGCCACAAAACTGCGCTCCTAGAGTGTGCTACCGCAGGCGAAACCCTAAGGGAGGCGACGACAAAATTCACATTTCACTATTGCTTGGCGTAACAGCGTCCCCGGGGACCGCACGAATCGGGTGCGGGGCTGGGACTCTTTGCTCTCGGCGGAAGAATATTGCAGCAGCGCGACCGCGCGCCGCGCTCCTCGGCCGCCCTGCTCCTACGGGGTTTCCGCGGCCCTGCCGCAGAGGCCGGCGGAGCCGGGGGGCGCCTAGGGCGGAAGCCGGGGGCGCTGTTCGCTGGCGGGCGGCGTCTCCGGGACGCAGCTCCGGGCTGCCCGCACGTCAGCGTTGCCTGCGGGCCGGCCCGCCTGCGTTCCGCGCCGGAGCAGGGTCGGGTTACGCCGCCCGTTCTCACCGCTGCTTAACGTGACAGTGAGGGCTACCTCGGCGTTTCGCCCAGCCATTTAAATAGCCATTCAGATCTGGACCGTGTGGAAACCCCTGCCCCGGAAAATGTCGGCCACCCAGCACCTCCGAGGAAAATCCGGGTCGCGGTTACATTTTGTAAGACGAGGGGCAAAATGTATGGTAACACGTTAACAGATGGTCCCGGAATGGCCATTTCGAGTATCGTGCCCTTGTGGTTTGCCTTTAGCTCTGGTTTAAAAAAAAAAATAATGCTTAATAATAACAGGTGAGAGAAACGATCGGTAGAATCCTTACTAACTTTTGCAAAGGACCTGTCATTTCTTTGTGACACAGAAATTTAAATGGGTGCTCCTGACTTCAGCCCTTAGCACTTCATGAGTTGATTGCCTCTTTTGGTAAGACAAAACAAAAGCAACTATTTTAATCGCTTAACGTTGCCTTCTTGAAATTGAGAGCAATACAGTTCTTACTGCCTGTAATAAACTTGGCATGGCTGCTTAAGTCCAGATATTTCTAGTCAGTCACAACTCAGGCCCCTTGCTAAAAACATTATATATTATATCATATATATTATATTTTATTATATTTTGAGACATAACTCTCACCGCTGTTCAAGATAGCATCATGAACACTCAAATTTTTTTTC